CCACAGTATATCTGAAGACCAACCTCATGCTCATACAGTGAGAAGGTACCAAACTGCTCCACTTCTTTCTGGAGTTACCATTCCTCCACAAGACTTCTGGTCTGAGTCAGATAACAAGATAAACACCTCATAATCCAAGACATTCTTTCCTCATCATTCTCCCATATGATAAGTTAGAACACTTCTGGTTTAACTGGTGAATATTCACTTCCATATAACTCATCATAGTCCATATTTTTATGCAATGAACCACTCCAGTCTTGTACAATACCTTCACATCATACTCCAAGACAATCCTTTTACCTCATCATTCTCCCGTATGACAAGATAGAGTACATCTTAGTCAAGATGTGAATCACAAGTTTCACAATAGATCTTCAATCAACTACCCTTCTGCACAAGAGTAATTAGTTCCAGGTTCACTGCTTGAAATCACATTAGAGACCAACCAAATGCCACTGTTTGGTTAACTCAGCTTCTTTCAGAGCTCTAGAACATCTAAGCAAACTTGATCTTCATATCCTCCATGCTCCAAGGCAACTTAGATACACCAAGACTTGGACCTGTAACATTTAATTCTTCTCACAGCTCCTGCAAACTGGAGTTTTTTCTTGATGTCACAACATCTGATCAGACATCCTGCTGGAGAGTTTAGGCTTTCATTCTGCCACTTAGAATAACCTTCTCTATATAACAGAAAAAGAGTTCCATGTTCTCATAGACTTGATTAATGATATCAGGTTTGAGTAGACAACCTATATTCTGCAATAGCTACCTTTGAAATTCATTTGCTCCAGAAAACTCCTCTTTAGAAAAACCAAACAAGCCAAAGGTTGATTCTTCATAGAAGATTAGTCACAAGAGATCTTTACAGAAGGAATCCCGCTTTCCTTAAGTAGAGACTTATTTAGAAAGTCAGAGATAACTGCCACTTATCCTTGATCTCCAAGATGAGAAAGGTCACATGCTCCTATGTACTTAGATCAGAAATAAACTTACCCAAGCAGTGTTATCACCAGTAGCATCTTCTAGACAAGTTTCTTGCCAGGAAACTTTCTAGATAAAGATCAGATGCTTCTAGTAAAAACTAGACCACACCTGTTGCACTCCAATACTGCTAGATCAGAAATAAACAGATCTAATTACATCTCCTTTGACCTATTGGTTCACTCCTTGAATAAAAAGACTTCTGCACATCTCTGCTGATGGAATATCTCAACATCTAGTTCAACATCATATCCAAACCAATCAGGGGCCTGACACTTGTGCTACAACTGATGAGACATCATGATTATCAACTAAGGATAAGCCATTAAATATTTCAGAATATCTCAAATACCAATGAATCTTAAATCCTTATAATAAATCCTTCTCTGAACTTCATAGATAACCAATTAAATACGTGTGTAGTCCACAAGTAGCAACTGATCTTAAATCCACACAACTTGTTGAGAATACCATCTGATAGATATTTACACTTTCAGTAATACCAAAAGTATTCTTTAGTATAAGTATCTATAATGTTTGAAACATCAAGTCTGACACCCTTGACTCAACCTGCCTATGACTTCCTCTTGCCAATAGAGCCCTTGTAAGTCATGAGTGGTGAAAATAAATCACCTCCCACTATCTTCTCTAAACAACCTTCAGCAACTTGTAATACACAATAGAGCAGCCCAGGCACAACCATACATCAAACTGTATATAAGTCAATCTTCTCCCAGGGCTACCAGAGTTCTTTCATCAGAAAAATATGCAGCGGAACCAGCAAAAGAACATCTTCAACATCCCCTGAATAAGATGTCAGAACATCTTATAGGACACCATACAGAGGAAGAAGCCACTCCTTGAGTATATGATCTGATCTATCCAATAAGAACATTAAGCAAATCACAGAGGCTCCTGTATCAAAGAGCACAACAGCAGATACACTGAATCTTTCAAAAACGGGTGTAAATATAAACTCCCCCTTAACTCCATGAGTAACAGCTCAGACATTTAGCAAGTCAGTAAATCAGCTACCACTTCTCCTTGTTCAAAACACCAGAAAGTATGTCCTAGGATCTCATCCAGAACAGACAGGATGCCTGCTCTGATACCAATTAGAATTCTGGTATGTAGATCTCAGATGTCCTAAGAGATGCAAAGAACATTGATCTCTGCTAAAACAGAACAAGGACAAAACATGACCATTTTAAATTCCTTTAAAAATTAACAGTGTCATGATCTTTATTGTAACACCTGCAGACTGACAGAACGATTTATCTAACCATTTAAATTATGCAGAATTGTAAATGCAGTAACAGACAATTGATGTTATAGTGGATGTTGTGACATCCACTTCTGGACAGATTATTAAACTTAGCAGTAAACAAGTTACGAAAGCAGTAAAGAACACAGGAAATTGTTAACCCAGTTCGGTGCAACATCACCTACATCTGGGGGCTACCAAGCCAGGAAGGAAATCCATTATTAGCAGAATTAATTCAGAGCTAAACTCCCAGTTTACACTCCTCACTTAATCTCTACCCAATGCAATTTCTGCCTAGAACACACTAGACAAGAGACACCTCTCACACCCCACAATCACAACAGTGATAACTAACTCAATACAAAAGGAAGACTTTAGAAGACACTCTTTAAAGTCACAATGCTTGATTTTGCTTAATAGCTTCAATCAAGAACAATGCACTCTTGCTTAAAATCTTTGAGTGAACAATTTACACTGTACCAATAACAGCCTAAATATGTCTACCACGATGCATCCAAAGATACAAAGGGTGACTTACAAAGTTACACACAAGAGACTCTCAAATCCTAAAACACAGAACCACACACACAATCTCTCAGTCTCTGTCTAAAAGCCCCAACAAATTAGGATTGCTACTTCTGTATATATAAGCAGCATACAGTCCTTGGGCCTAGGTGCAGAAATTAGGTTTACCCAAGATAAACCTCTCTTCATGAAACTGCACACATCCAATATGGTCAGGGGCATTCCATTTTATCCTCAGCAATGCGTGATATGTCGCCTGAGATAACTAGGCTTTCTAAAGTGTTTCCTGAAGTATAGCCTGAGCTAATATCAGAAACTAACACCTGCGCGCCCTGATATCATATGCTTGATGTCATAACATTCAACATGACATCCAATCCACTCTGTTCTAGTTAACCAAAACTCACCCTGCAGTACACTCCTGCAGAATCTTCTTCATAACAGTAGAAACAAATATATTATAGTTTCCTAAAAAGTCTCAAAGATCCTTTTTATGAACACCAATTAAATCTGCACTTCGTTCCTAATAAATCTATTTGATCTGCACATACTAATGAGATATATCCAACAGGATCTCATCAAACTAAACCACCTCTGTCAAGAGATATAAAATAGCAGCTTTTGTTGTACTAGATGGATGTCACGACATTTGTCTTGACATCTTGATTAAAGCACATGACAACAGTTCTGTCACCACAACAGATGGATGTCACGACATCTGTCTTGACATCTTGGTTAAAACACATGACAACAGTTCTGTTACCATAGCAGATGGATGTCACGACATTTGTCTTAACATCTTGGTTAACATCAGTTCAGAATCATGTTTTACCAAAATTTAGCCAATCATAGAACCATGGACTATCATAGAAACATGGAACTAACAAAAGCTAATTGTAAAATTTCTCTCACTAGAACTAGGATTAGGAGCCTTAACTTCCTCCCCATCTGTAGTCTCCATTGCAGGAATCTCTTCAACAAATTGAATCTTATTCGCCATAATTTCTAATACCTTCATCTTCAGGTCTTTACTTTTCGTCCCTTTATGGGCTTCACTGAAAGTAACCCATTTGCTCCTCCAAATTCCACAATTTCACATATTGTAACCCTTCCCACCTTATGAACCACCTTGATTTGCATAAACGACAAATCTTTAAAAATCTTCAAATTAGATTAGTTTGTATGTTTTCTACTCTAAACCTCCTTAAATGCCTATAAGTTTATCCTTATGAATGTACATCTGTCAGTCAATTAAGTTGCTCAGGCATTAACCTTACCCCATAAAAGCTTTTGTATAATTTTCATATTGTCAGTCTTATAAAATTTAGTTTTAATTTTTGAAAAGAGTAAATAAATTATTTAATCAAGCAAACATTTTGATTTTATTTTGTTCTTTTCATGTTTGCAATTTTATTCTTGATTATGCACATGTACACTTTCAAAAATCAACTGAAATATATGATAATAAAGATCAGAGTCGTCTAATGAGACATATGATAATAAAGATCTGAGTCGTTTAAATTTTTTTGGAGACCTTGTATAAATTAGCTGTAGTTTAATCATGAAAAATAAATTGAGATTCTATCTAACAATTGTTTAACTATTATAAACATTTTATGAGTTCCTATTTAACCTCGTATTAACTATGACAAATTTGAGATAATATACCGTGACCGCCTTGCACACCTTCAAAGAGGACCCTATTAAAAATTGTCTAATATGTCAATTCAATCAACAAAGTTTTAATCCATATAAAAAATACAATAAATTGTCACACATGAAAATTTATAAAAAAAAAACTTGTTAATAAGACTAATAGTTCAAATAAAATGTAATATAAACAATCAATTCATATAAAATAACATAAAGGACCAATACATAAAAAAGTTAAATTTAAAGACCCCATGTGTAAATTTCCTAACATCTTCATTAGAGTAATAATTGGCCGTTGCCTATTTGAATATATCAACATCTATAGATACACAAAAGTACATTATATTTATTAGTCCATATTCCAAGTCAAAGAATTGAACTTGTATACATATCTAAAATGTAATTCAAGTTTAAAAAAAATTATTATAACATAAGAAAAAGAAATTCCTCAAAAACATTTATCATGAAGAATAAAAGTAATGATTTTTTTCCTTCATGATAATTGATAAAATACTTTTGAGAAATCCCTTAATTTTTCTCAATTTAATATTTTTTTCTCCTCTATATTAGTTCAGTGACATTCTGCTGGCAATACTTTGTATCTAGATACATCATTACAATAAGAATAAAACATGAGTTTTCTTCTAGCCCAATCCATAGCTGCTATCTGTTGTTGTGAAAGCTTGGTAAACTCTGCTCCATTAATAGGATCTTGTTGTCCTGAAAGATTTGACTTAGAACACGAAGAAATTGGTGAATTTGGATCAGTTATGCAGCCACTTAATTCCACTTCAGTTAATGAAACAACAAATGGTGCATATTTGTAGTTTACAGGGTACTTTCCTCCATGTGTAGCCCATTCTGAACCATCCCATATTGTTGCATATAATGACATTGGTTTTGATGGATAAATAAATGGGTATGTGGTTTTGTGTATGAATTCTCTCACCGGAATGTTGTCAACAAAAAACCTACAAAATAAGAAAAATATATCATATAAGAAATGTAAAGTTCAAATTCCACTGGTAGCTAATAATTAATCTTGGACAAGTTTGGGCCAGATTTAAACCCGGACTCAGCACAATCTGCCTCGGTTTTATACATTTCATGGGACAAGATCAAGTTAAATTAACTTAAATAGAAAAGCCAACGAGATATACTCAAACAGATATTTGCAACTCTGACTAATTTAACACCAAGAATTATTAATTAGTGTACCAAACATATACAAGTTTCTAAGATTAGTTGGTCATAGGATGGAATATGGAGTTTTAAAAAAAACAAGATATCTAGTTTTCCAATATTTTCAAAATAAAAATTAGAAAACAACTCTTCATGATTGAGTCATTACTCTCAATTATATTATGATGCAATTATTCAAGATTAAAAAGCTTACACAGTATGATAACTATTCCACAAGATGCTATAATAATGGTGCTGCTCCGTTGGATCAAACCAGAAATAAAATTTCTCTTCTCTTCCTGTGCTAACACTTCCATTGGCATACACGTTTGTTTGAATAACCCAATCATTTCTCTTGTCATGGCCAAGAATTTCAATATCTATCTCATCATGATTGTGCGGAAATTTATCTGCATTTGACAACTGATAGTATTTTTTTCAAGTTAAATCTAATCATAATCTCAAAGATTGATTCATAAGCAAAGAAGTATGAAGGTAGCTTACATAAAAAGCAACCACAACTCCCGGTGACAAACCAGCCGGTAATTTGATCGCAGCACTAAAGAATCCATAGTAGTATCTATTTTGTGACACCATGCCGGAACCTATAAAAACACATAACACAGTTAAACCAATTCAGTTGAGAGCTGTACATAGACATTTGATTGAAGAACGCAATAAACCTGTGATTTTGTCAAGAGCCAGGGTGGCCATAGACCCATTACTAAGAAACTTAACATTTGAGGCACCAAAAGCATTAGAAAAAGCACTATCAATTGTTACATGAGGAAAAGAATCAGTTAAGTGTGAGACAGTTGGAATTGTGTAAGGTCTGCTGTGTGAAGAAACAGAAACCAATGTTGTTAAGGAAAGGATTAGTAGAAATGAAACGGGTAGGTTTTGTTGGTTATGAAAATGAGCCATGTTTGTGTTTAGGACAAAGATGAAGTTAGATTAGGTATATATATTGTGGTTGGTTTGTTTAATGGGGTTCATATACTTCATAATCTTTTTGCTTAGTTGTTTTCTAGCTGGCCAATAGCTAGTTGCATTTCACTTTCAATTTATAGAAGTGATTCCTAGAAACTTTTATAATTGTAGTGTTTGAGATTTTCTCATTTATTAATATGGAATTATTTTCAAATTTTCACACGCATTAATAATTTTTTGACTTAATTATAGAGCCCTTCACGAAATTGGTCTACATGCTTTAATGTCACTCTTTTAATTTTTCTCTTACATATTTTTTATTTTATTTTATTTAAAAACAGTGGTGTGTTATATAATATTTTAATATTTTAAAAATATTTATTAGTTTTGAAAGTTGATCTTATAAAGTTATAATAAGTGAGGAATAAAATATATAATTTTGGTGGGTGTCATGGATCTTAATGGCAAAGTTCCAAAGTGTCATGTGCAAGGTGATTTCATGGTTTGGCAGGGTTTGGGCAGTGGGGTTGGCCTAAAAAGTTAAGAGGTATGGAATAGAATGAACTTTTAGTTAGTGTTTGATGGGCAGTCTCAATCTTACTTGCATGGTTCTAACATCCTTTACAAGTCTTGCTCCTTAATTCTAGCTGTAATCCTATTGTCAACAACTAATACACTTTGAAACCTATATGATTTAATTTGGTTTGGACAACAAATTTGCATGGTGAAGAAGAGAGATCAAGTAAATTAGTACTTTTCTTCATTTTAATACATCTTCTTGATGAATGTATACTCAATAAGAAAAGTTTGACTATCTATCTTTATAGAATCATAAATAATATTACTTTTATAAGCTATCTATTTGCACAATCAGTTTTAACTATGGTATTTATACTCAAATCAATTCAAATAAAAATCTAAAATTAATTTTAAAAATTTAAAATTATAAAAATTATATTTTATATTTTAAATTAATTTTTTAGAATTGATATAAATCAAATCTAACTACATGCATATATTTTAATATTTATATGTTTTTATTAGTATGATATATTACATTGATTTACTATAAATTGATATCTATTTATTTTTAATATTTTATTTGTTACGAAAATAGTCTATGTTTTCATTCTGTATTTTTAATTTTTAATATATTAACTATTATATATTACTTCAAACATATTATTTTTATAGTATTTTAATAATGTTAATATTGATAAAAAATATTATAATTTTTAATTTAGATATTTAAAAAAAAATTTAAATTAAATTACATGAAATTTGATGGGATGGATCAACTTTTTTTAAACTAATTATCGAACCGAACTGCAAATAATTTTATCTTAAAATTGAATGAAATTTTTTCAAACTTGATTCAAATTAAATATCAAATACGCTTGATTTTGTTGTTTAATCTTGTAAAATTGAATAAGATCGTGTATATCAACAATAAAGTTATTTTCAAAAAGTTTAACATTTTGCATTTTAAAAATAAAATTTAAAATAAAAATTATCTATTTAGAAACTACAAAAATAAATAAATTTAAGATCAATTAAGATCCAAAAAAGAAATTGAAAATACAATTTTTATAAAAATATAAGTTTGAAAGTTAAATTAATCATCAAACATCGTTGGCTTTGCGGTGTCTATTAATCTAAAAGAAATTTGAATTAGATTAGAAAAACAATAAAATTTTTACTTTTTGTTAATTATTTCATGGTCTTAAGCTAGGGTATCTAATTTTTTATCTAAAAAAAAGTTAGGATATCTAATTTAGAGGCATTAAATTTTAATGATGTATTTTGAAAAAAAACTTAGTTTATATAGATTATATAATAATATGCATGGACTTCTACTTTTGAAATGGAATAAGTAGAATGCTATATATAGTGTAGCAAAATTTGGGCCATGAATTGAAATGACATAAAAATACTCTTTCACACTAACGAAGCAATATTAAATGCTCTAGAAATTTCAGCTTAAATGGTTAAGCTTAAATGGTTAAGCTGAAAATAGTTAAGAGGTGGGTATAGTACAGTTATATGGACTAATCAAACGAATCAAAATGAGGAATCTATAAACTTTAATTAATTAACTATATAATTATAATCTAATCATGTAAATGCATGCTAGGAGGAAGATGTTCAAGTATCTTTATGTATGAAAATGACCAAACCTGACAGGGGTTACTTAGCTGGCAAACAGAAGAATCTGATGCGACTGAAAAACAACACAAGACAAATCAGATATGCTTGTTGATTTTGTAATTTTCTTTTCATATTTTCTATTAGGAGAAAAATTTAAAAAGGTTGCATATAATGTATCGCGTTAAGAAAAAGGATGTGCAACTTGGTGGTGGTGACAAGGAGATTTATGGCACAGAATTACTTTTTTATATATAATATTCAATTGCTGACTGAATCTTAAATAGGTGAAAGAAAACAAGGAAGAGATATGTTAGCAGGGAAGTTAAGCCATATCTCCAATTAGTTCATCACTTGATGTTACTATATTGGAATTTTGTGTTATTGAGCTTGAGCAAAATATTGAGATTTATGACCTCTAAAAGTTTAAGGGTGTGGAGGAGAAGCATAGAGGTTAGAAGTAAAAATTTGGTGAAGCCTGCAGAATGGTCTATATCAAAGAGTTTCTTGTAAAGAAAAGAGTTGTAAAGAGGTATAACTCTCGAGTGGCTGCAAGAGAAATGAAAGAAAATAACCCGGCACTCTAACATGTAAGAGTCTATTAGAATTGAAAAACTATTATCCAATAAGGAAAGGTCTTATAGAATAAGTGAGAAGCTATCGTATGACGCCTATAAACTAGAAGAATTGAACAATGATATGATATACTCAGATTTTAGAACTCAATAAATATGAGATACTATTACAATTAATGTATTTTTTTTTATTTAATATGGTGAGGATATAATCTTCTATTACTTTTTTGTATTTATGATTTAGAATATCGATAAAGTAGTAATGTGACACTCGTTGCCCTTGCAAGGGTAGGTTTTTAAAGATGTGTCATATTTATTAAGTTTGTCTTTTCTTTAACTCAACTATTGATCACATACAAAATCATGGCTCTCTTTGGAATATCATTGAGCCTTTTAGAGTATCATTGCGTCCTATGGGATATCATTTCGTTCTTTGAGGTATCATCGCCCTTTGTGGTATCCTTGTGTCTTTTAATGTATGATTGTGCCCACAAGGGTATCATAGCACCCTACAGATTACCAATATTTCTAAAGCTCACCAAGATCAATCTTGTCTATATCGAAAATTGGAAGGTCAAAACAATATTATATTTGCTAGGACGCACCCAAAACACAAACATACAAAAACATATAAGTATGATGAAACTCTAAAGTCAAATACTCAACACAGACAAAATTTAAAGTTTCATTATTGTTAAAACTCTAAAATGGATTTGATTACAAAAGTTATATTATTACAATAAAAACAGTTGCACGAAATAACATTCAATTTTCTAACACAATATGCATGGTTTCCTCATCTTGGATGGGTCTAGTCACATCTAGGATGGACCCGATCTCTTCACCGCATGTTGGTGTGGTCTCTTTATTAGGAATGGGTGTTCCCTCATATCTAGAACACGAGGTGACCTCCTCTTCACCCTCTTACACCAAATTCACATCTTGAATTACTTTTAACAAACCAAGCTCGCTCGAATCAATATTAGGGTGCAAGGAATGAGCTTGTTCTTTTGCCTTCACAAAGTCCAGATCATAACAGAGGATGGACTCCATACGGAACTCCTCCAAGTCGGATTGTAATGTTCTCTTAGTAGCATCAAACTCTTGTCCCAAAAGGAAGACATGTCTCGAGCTTCAAGAGGCTTTGTAACATGGACACCTTGAGAAGAACCTGTCACACTTTATCTAGGGGAGACCCTTTTTCCAAGTCTATGGAAACATCAAACTTCAAATCAATATGGACCATCCCTAAGTCAACCTTATGATATTTGGTCTTAGACAAAGATCTAATTTCATAGGAATGAGGGTGCCTCACATCGGAGATATAATTGGCGTGAATAACTCTTATCTCGCTTGTTGGCTTCATATTCCTTGGGCACATATCAACATCCCAAACTAATGACACTTTTGACATGCAGATCTGACCTCACCTCTTTTTCTTTGGCCTTCTCCAAGTACACCTTCTTCTCTGACACTGATAAGAGGTTCATTCTCTCTGCATAAAATCAATATTGAAAAGTAAGGGTATAAAAATATATAAAAAATGAACACAAATAAATTCAGAAAACTTACACAAATATTTGTCAAGCTTTGCTTTGTTCATGTAACTATGAGATACAACCTAAGAGGGAGTGAATTAGGGTTGTAGAATTTTTCTCGATTATGCGCTAAGTTTCTTTACTTTTTAATTATAGGAAGCAATGATATAAATGTTACTTAGTATGAATGTAAAATGCATAATTTAAAGTGGATAAAGTAAATAACACACATGGATTTATACTAGTTCCCCTTACCAACTTAAGAGTACACCTAGTTCCTCTATTTCCTTAGAGGATTTTTGACTATGTTCAAATACTCTTTATAAGTATCACACCAAGCACTTTAAAGAAACACCAATAAACCAACCAAGAAAGCACACCACTCTCTTGTTTACAAAATAAACACCAAACCCTATAGTAGGCTTTGAATAACCCAAGTCAAATAACATTTTTCACAATCACCAATTACTATGATAATATTCACCAAACACTATGGTGTAACAAGTCACACTAATTTGTTTTTGAGAAATGAAGAACTTATATTGGCTATAAAATAATCACATTCAAAATTTGATTGTTGATTCTTATAAATGATACAATTGAAATGTGTGATGTGTCGGGAAAAGACCCAGGACCCGACAGTCTGTGTCGGCCATCATCCGAAACCCTCTAGTTTACGCCAACCAAAGACCTATATCTATTACTCCTCGCCGGCCAAAGGCTCAACAATTTAAGG